GAACAGCAAGATGGACAACTGCCTGTGGACACTGCCAGGAGGGGCTGTGCAGTGGGACAGTGGCTGTGGCAGTGTGTGAGTGGGACAGTGGCAGTATGAGAGTGTGACAGTGTGTGAGTGTGACAGTGGCAGTGTTTGAGTGTGACAGTGGCAGTGTTTGAGTGTGACAGTGGCAGTGTGTGTGTGACAGTGTGTGTGTGTGACAGTGGCAGTGTGTGTGTGACAGTGACTGTGTGTGTGATAGTGGCAGTGTGTGACAGTGTGTGTGTGTGACAGTGACAGTGTGTGTGTGACAGTGGCAGTGTGTGACAGTGGCAGTGTGTGATAGTGGCAGTGTGTGAGTGTGACAGTGGCAGTGTGTGTGACAGTGACAGTGGTAGTGTGTGACAGTGTGTGTGTGTGACAGTGTGTGAGTGTGACAGTGGCAGTGTTTGAGTGTGACAGTGGCAGTGTGTGAGTGTGACAGTGGCAGTGTGTGACAGTGTGAGTGTGTGACAGTGGCAGTGTGTGTGTGACAGTGACAGTGGCAGTGTGTGACAGTGTGAGTGTGTGACAGTGGCAGTGTGTGTGTGACAGTGGCAGTGTGTGTGACAATGGCAGAGTGTGACAGTGGCAGTGTGTGTGTGACAGTGGCAGTGTGTGACAGTGACTGTGTGTGTGACAGTGGCAGTGTGTGTGACAGTGGCAGTGTGTGTGTGTGTGACAGTGGCAGTGTGTGACAGTGTGTGTGTGTGACAGTGTGTGTGACAGTGACAGTGGCAGTGTGTGTGTGTGTGTGTGACAGTGGCAGTGTGTGACAGTGTGTGTGTGTGACAGTGGCAGTGTGTGTGTGTGTGACAGTGACAGTGTGTGTGACAGTGGCAGTGTGTGTGACAGTGGCAGTGTGTGACAGTGGCAGTGTGTGTGTGACAGTGGCAGTGTGTGACAGTGTGTGTGACAGTGGCAGTGTGTGTGTGACAGTGACAGAGTGTGTGTGACAGTGGCAGCGTGTCAGTGCTGATGCATCGCACAAATCCCCGCTGTGCCCTCGGCAGTGCACAGGTGGCTCCCTCACCAGAGAATCCAGGTCCCTGTGCCCATGGCTGGTCCCTGCTGTGGCAGGGCTGTGTCTGATGTCCCTTTGTCCCCTGTTCCCCCTCAGGAAGCAGCACGAGAGCGAGGAGGGCGAGAGCCACCGGCGCCACAAGCACAAAAAGAACAAGCGCAGCAAGGAGGAGAAGGAGGCCAGCGAGGACGGGGCTCAGGAGGGCGAGGAGCAGGACACCAAGGAGTGAGCCAGGCCCCCGGCAGCCTCGGCAGGAACTCTCTCCTGTGGAACCAGCATGGAATTGGTGATGTTTGGTTTGGGGGGTGATTTTTTTTTATTATTGTTTTTTACTTTTTTCCAAGGGAAGAGGCTGACTGGGCGAGCCGTGGCACAGCCGGCAGTGCTTCAGGAGCTGAGGCTGCACGTGCCCTTAAACTTCCTTTTTTTGTTTGTTTTTGATACAAGACAATACAGCAGTACTAGTTACAAAGCACTGAGCTACTCTACTCATCCACATCCCTAGGGAGAACTTTGGTGTATCAGATCCTATGGTTTCTGATGGAAGATGGCTTCAGCTGAAACTAATGCAATTAGGTCATAGTTCTTGGTTCTTTTTGGCATCATCGTTCCTTTTTGAGGACTAGGACAGTAAGTGCAACTTGAAATTTATTGTCCAAAGAACAGCGTGACTTAGATCCAGGAGCCAGCTTAGAGTCTGGTGTCCAGTAGTGCAAAGTCTCATTCCTGAATAAATTTCTTTATAGCTACAGAAACAGCTTCTGATTCCTCCGTGGCCAGCCTGGCGTGTCAGGAGGAGCTGCAGGATCTGCTCCAGGTGGGCACAGAGGCCTGCCTGGATGTGGCAGCTTCCAGAAGCTGCTGAGGGCGTTCACACAGCGTGTGCAGAGACTCCAAAACTGGTTTTTTATCCATTGCAAAGGTAGTTCTGTCATGTTACACCCCTGTGTGGGGAATCAATGAAGATCCACAGCAAGAGCATGAATTTCTCTTTAATTCCTTTTGACTTAACTATTTTATTTCCTTTTTTTATAAGAGTTGACTGAATAACCTAGAGTACAGTAGAGAACACCAAGTCCCAGTTAGCAGTTTGCCCTCATGGGACTGGTGTTTCTATTTGGGTATCACCAACACTCCTGTCCAATGCATTCCTTTCCCTTAGATCCCAAAATAAATTTAGTCAAATTCCAAAGTTTCTTTGGATTTAGTATTGGTTGGGGAAGGGGCAACAGAAATGTTTCTGGGTGAGAAGAACAGGGGAAATAATTTTGAGGGGTTTTCATCTGCCTGGTCATTAGGTTCCTGCCCTTCTGTTCGTGTGAGTCCACAAATGTCTCATTTTCCTTTGACTTGTTATTTAAAACTGTCTGAAATATTTGTCCTAAAATAATATGGTTCTGAAATGTTCTGTATTTTTTGGTATTGTAATCTTGGAAGTCTTGAGTGTGCTGGGAAGTGCCCAACGTGTGCCAGGAGAGCCCTTGGGTTTGGGTTCAGCATTGTGACAGTGCAGTGATGGGTTTGTAAGTGCAGAGCCCAGGGGAGGAGGAGGAGACTGGGACTTCTGCTGGTTTTTGGTTTTCATGGAGTTCTCTTAATGTGCTTGAGCTGCTGGGAAATGTGTGTGCACTGGGCCAGGGTTAGCTGGGATCAGGCTGTTCCTGCCTCTGCAGCCTCGGTGGAGCCCAGATCCAGGAACATCTCTCACTGCCCCAGCACCCCCAGCTCCTGGCCCTGGCTGTGCAAGGAACAAGGGAATGCCCAGGGCTGGGCTGCAGCTGGGAGTGCCCAAAAGCTGCCCAAAGGAGAATGGCATGAACTTGAGGAGAAATGCAGACCAGAGTGGTGAGGAGGCTTCAGGAGAGCTGGTTCTGTGCCCCCTGGCACTGCTCAGCACAGAGGGGCCCAGAGCCCTGCCAGCCTCCCTGGGGAGCCTGCCTGAGGTGGGGATGGGACCTGCTGCATTTCCCAGCACAGCAGCTCTGCCCCCAGGCAGTGCCCCCAGCCCCTCTGAGCTGCCTTTCCCTGCCTGCTCCCCTGCAATGCTGCAGCCAGGGGAGGGGGCTGGCCCCACACAAGGACATTTGTGCCCCCTTTGCATGCTCAGGTGGCCCTGGTGCCTCTCCAGGGGTGCCAGGGCTGTTCCACAGCCACTGCCTGAGCTCCTGCAGAGTTATTGGTGATCACAGCCAGTCTGCACCCGGTGGGGCTGGGGGACTGCATGGGGAATCCAGCATGGAGTCAGTCAGGGCTGCCCCTCCTCCTGTGGTATTGCAATGAGCTGGACCAGCTCACAGAGTATTCACAAATGGGGAGGCTTTTGGGGCCAGGAGCAGCTGTGGAGTTGAGGTAAGTAGTTTTAAATTGGTTTCTTTTCATTAAATAGAGGTAAAGTGCCTTTACTATCAGGGAAATGTACAGGTGGGGTGTTGGAAATAATCTGTACTCAGCAGCAGGAAGCTGCTGCAGGTTCAGTGGTGTTGGGATGTGGGGTTTTCTGTTGCTGAGGGGTTTTTCCCAGCCACAGTGCATTTCAGGAGAGTCCAGCTCCTTTCCTGGGAGAAGCAAAGACAATGACACTGTTTCCTGCCACAGGGTCACTTTTTGCAGCAGTCTTGCTGAGTGACCTGTTCTGGGGGCATTAGTTACTACATGGAAAGAAAGGGTAAAAACCACACCTAATGCATATTTTTCAGCAATATTACAATAATTTATAAAGGCATCAAAACAAACTCAACATCTATTAACAAGCTGATTTTTGGAAACAAAATTTAAATTATGAGGACATTTTGATGAAGTTGAAGGCACCTTGAAAGGAGATGGAGTAAAAATGGTTCTGCAGCCTCCTCCTCCCTCCACTGCCAGCCCAGCAGCTGCACAGCTCCTCCCTGCTGCCCCTTCCCCACGTTTGGGGCAGGCAGTGGGAACCACCCTCTCTCTGTCCACATCAGTGTTCACTGTTCCAGGCACAGATTCTGCACATTGATTGGAAAAAGATAAAAAATTGCTTCATGTTTTTGTGTCCCAGCGAGGTCAGTGATGAGTTTTCTTTGTGGATTATTCTGCTCTCAGCATTGCCCAGTAGAACAACAGGAAAGCAGCCCTGGAGGCCAGGTAGCCCCAGCTGTGCTGCCAGAGTGCCCAGAGGTGTTCTCAGCCCAGCCAGGGCTGCTGCCAGGGTGAGCTGAGGGTCCTGCAGTGTCCTGGGCTGCTGGCATCATGAGCTGAGGGTCCTGCAGTGTCCTGGGCTCGGGGACAGGGTGAGCTGAGGGTCCTGCAGTGTCCTGGGCTCCTGCCAGGGTGAGCTGAGGGTCCTGCAGTGTCCTGGGCTGCTGGCACCATGAGCTGAGGGTCCTGCAGTGTCCTGGGCTCGGGGACAGGGTGAGCTCAGGGTCCTGCAGTGTCCTGGGCTCGGGGACAGGGTGAGCTCAGGGTCCTGCAGTGTCCTGGGCTCGGGGACAGGGTGAGCTCAGGGTCCTGCAGTGTCCTGGGCTTGGGGACAGGGTGAGCTGAGGGTCCTGCAGTGTCCTGGGCTGCTGGCAGCATGAGCTCAGGGTCCTGCAGTGTCCTGGGCTGCTGCCAGGGTGAGCTGAGGGTCCTGCAGTGTCCTGGGCTCGGGGACAGGGTGAGCTGAGGGTCCTGCAGTGTCCTGGGCTTGGGGACAGGGTGAGCTCAGGGTCCTGCAGTGTCCTGGGCTCGGGGACAGGGTGAGCTGAGGGTCCTGCAGTGTCCTGGGCTCTGGGACAGGCCCTGCTGTCCCTGCCTGCAGCTCCCAGCACAGGAGGTGAAGTCACCGTGTGTGAACAAGGCCCAGGGACAGCAAATGACAAATTGCCAGCCCAGGAGAAGCTTCAGCCAGGCCTGGGCTCTTCCCTGCAGGGCTGCTACAAGGAATTAAACATTCATTCCAATGAATTAAACATTCATTCCAGGCAGCATTTGGACAGGGGACAGACTCCTTGGATTCTTACAAAGCTGCTCCTGCAAAAGGTGCAGCACAGGAGCAACCTGGTTTGAGAAAAACCCATCATCTCTATTGCTCATTAAACTGCTAAAAAAGGGAATTGCTTCAGGTGGAGTTTGCAGGTAGGAACTTTCACAGTGTCAGAGGTCAAAGCACCCTACCTGGGCTTCAGTTCTTCAACTGTAAATTTTACCTGCACAGTGGGTTTGAACTGAAGCCAGGCTGGGCACAGTCTCCTTCTGGAGGTGACTTTTCCTGCAGCCAAGATCCATTGAGCTTCCCCTGATCCCATAAGTTGATATTTTGCTCCAGCTGCAAGAGGGACATGAAGGGAACTGCAGGAGAAATCTCACCTGGCAGTACAGGTGCTTCTGCCCCTGCCTGAACTCTGCCCTTCAGCACTGGCAACATAAAAATAAAACAGGCATCAGGCTGGGCCAGGGCTGTCTGACACCAGCCCGTTCCCTTCTGGGAAAAGCTGCTTTTATCAATCCTAAAACCAGGGAAACCCGTGTGCAATAAGTGAATCTTACCCTTGACCTTTGATAAAGTGACATTTTGCAACATCATATTTCAATGAAACCCCTCTTGCTGATGCCTTTGAGAGTGGTTTTTTAAGTTGTTGAAATTGTCCCTTTGCAGTCAGTCAGTGGAGTTGGCAGGATCCTGAACTGGGATTTGTGCCAGGACCCTCCTGCAGGTAACAAAGCTCCACCAGGCTGCCCCAGCAGCTCTGAGCTACTGTGGGCTTTTCATTGTTAAATCATCCCTTGGGTTACTGACACCTAAAAATGAGGGCTGGGAAATCCTGATAGAAATGCCTAAATCGGGTCCCCATCCTTACAGATCCAGTAGCTGCTTCTAGAAGCCTCTGTTTTAACCTGTTCAAATACTCAAGGGAAAGCAGAGCCCTAAAATCGAGGCAAGCCTCAGCAGCCTCCAGGGCAGGTTGTGGAGAAACACTGGGCAGAGCTTTCTGTGCTCCACCAATCCTAAGGAGCTTTCATGAGCCTGGGCAGCTCAACAACTCCTGGGTTAACCTTTACTTTGAATTCAGCATCCAGATTTGTTGGTAAAATGTTTTCCATAGAAAGGAAGCAGCGAGTTTTCCATGGCAATGCAGTGGGGCAGTCCCTGTTTCCTGCAGCTGTGGCCTGGGTGCTGCCCAGCTGCTGTTGGATACCTGAAGTGTTGGGGCTTTGCTGGAGCTGTCACACCAGGCTCCCTGGCCAGGACACCACGGTCAGGGTGACTTTGTTCCTCTGCTCCTTCAGCATTGGGATTAATTCTGAGTTGCTCATTCCTATTGCTGGCACTCCGTTCACTGCCACGATTTCATCTCCACACCTGCCCAGAGACAGCATCCAGTGAGAACTGGGGTCAGTATCAACCCTGAGCCAAACCATCAACTCCTCCTTGAGAGAACACCTCCCTTGAGCCATAGGGCAGGGAAAAGGAGAACACTGCTGCTGCTGCTGCTTGGGTGACAGCAGTGAGGGTCAGGCAGCAGGGGAGGAGCTGTGCTGGTCAAACCCTGCTGGCCCAGGTCAGTCCTGCAGCTCCTGAACTGCCAGCACCGGAGCTGGGAGAGGGCCCTGCCCTCTCTGGCACACCCAGCCCCTTCTGGGGTGCAAGGGCTGAGCCCCACAGCCCTGTCCCCACTCCACCGGGCTGAGCCCAGGGCTCCCCCTCAGCTCTGGAGCACAGCCCAGCTCCCTGCACCCGGCTGTGTCCCCTCCCTGTGTCCCTGGCAGCCCCACCCTGCTCCTCCCCTGGGATCTCTCACCAACACCCACCCCAGCAAAGCTCGGGTTAAGGTTCCTGCACAGGAGAGCTTTTGCTGCCTCTCTGGGGATACTTTTCCTAATCCAAGAGGTTTTATAGGCTGGAACCTCCAAGATTCATCTCAAACATCCCCTTTTTACTTTTACCTAATTACAAAATTAATCCCTTCACAGTTAGGTTTTAAAGGGCTGTAAATTCCTTTTCCTTGCACCTTTATGGAGAAACCAAAACTGCTTAACGCAGGCCTGTTTGTTACAAGCGTGGCAACAATATAAACTTCAACAATATAACCTTTCAAACTGTGCAGGGCCATTAACTGGAGCTGAGCTCCTCCAAGGCTCAGAGCCTGGAACCCCAGCCCGGGGGTGGGGACGGTTCCCGGGTCCCTCACACCTACTTGAGTTTCCTGTCCCGGAACGCGGGAGTGCCTGGCACGATGGTTTTGATGAAGAAGGGTTGGTTTCCTTTGCTTTCCTCAAAGCCTCCCACGATGCTGAAGCCCCAACTTTCCAGGTTTCCTTTACTGAGGACAATATCTTGACAGAAGTGAAGGTAGCTGTGTCAAAAACAGAGAGGTTCTGAGGAAAATTGCCTGAGGAGGAATTTGTTTTCCCTCATTGAAAGCACAGCTATGAACAGCCTCATTTTCCTGGGTTTTAGGATTTGGGACACTCCTTTGCAAGGTGTGTCTGAGGGTTAATTCTCAAATGGGATGATGTCAGGCATTTAGAAATCTTTGCAGAGTATTGGTTTAAGAGCTAAGAGGAAATCACCCAGCTCTAAAGGGGTTTGGGGTCTGCAAGACTCCTGAAAAACTTCATGAATTCTGCTAATGAACACCCTCAGCACCAGAGACAAACCCAAATGAACAGTGAGCAGCAGCTACACCCATGTAGGTGATGAGAGTGGAGGGGTTTTATCCTCTCTGTGCACTGCACTGGCACAAGGGAGGGATTTTATCCTCTCTGTGCACTGCACTGGCACAAGGGAGGGGTTTTATCCTCTCTGTGCACTGCACTGGCACAAGGGAGGGGTTTTATCCTCTCTGTGCACTGCACTGGCACAAGGGAGGGATTTTATCCCCTCTTTGCATTGCACTGGCACAAGGGAGGCTTTCAGCATCACTGGCAGCAAATGTGAGGTGCAGCAGCTGCCAGGGGAGAGCAGGGAGGGCTTTCCTGCAGGATCCAGGCTGTCCATTCCTGCAGGATCCAGGCTGTCCATTCCTGCAGGATGTCCATTCCTGCAGGATGTCCATTCCTGCAGGATCCAGGCTGTCCATTCCTGCAGGATCCAGGCTGTCCATTCCTGCAGGATGTCCATTCCTGCAGGATCCAGGATGTCCATTCCTGCAGGATCCAGGCTGTCCATTCCTGCAGGATCCAGGATGTCCATTCTGCTATTGGGCTCCTCGGTGAGAGCTCCTGGCTCTGCATTCCAGCTGCTGAGGTTTGTGTCCTCGGGGAGCCGGGCACTGCCTGGGCACAGAGCCCCAGGAGGGGACACACAGGGTGTGGCAGGAGCTCTCCTGGGCTCCCAGGCTGCCTCCTCCGTGTCCTGGCACCTGAGCTGTGAAACTGCTGCTCATCATCCCCTGCTGAGCTATTCCAGCAGCTAAACTTTTCCTAATAAACGTTTTTGCCTCAAGGGCTTTGCTTGAGCACTTTGCTGAGGAGTTTCAGATTTCAAAAGCCTTCCCAGTTAAATTCTCACCAGGAGAAAGATCCAATTATCTACTTTCAAACTGTAATTTACTTTTGTAGGAGTTTTTCACACATAAACACCAGGAGACCCAGCTGGAGCTTACTGATTCCTCCGTGCTTTCCTTCCACCGGTACCACACAAGTGCAAAAACACAGCTCTGAGCCATGGCTGTGGCAGCTTTTGCAAATGAATAGCCCCGAGAGCAACAGTGGCTACGTCAGCACAGAGCATAAATACAAACATCAGGCACGTTTCTCCAGGAGCTGGAAAGGGCTGTTTGCTAGGAATCCGTTTTCCATATTAAAAAGGGGTTCTAGGAAGAAAAACTTTAATTTACCACAATCAGAAATGACTGTGGGAAAAGAATTGGAGAGTTTAGGGAAGGTCGAGGTGCAGGGTGCACGGTGCCAAGCACGCTGCTGAGCTGGCAGTTCTGAGCTGCAGGGGTGGGACTGGGAGCTCCACATGGTTCCTGTGGGAAGAGTCAGGCTGGAGTCACATAAAGCCCAGGGAAGAGGGAGGCAGGAAAATGCTTCTCCACGAGCCACACAGTGCAAGAAACAAAGGTTTTAGAGAGAAAAGATAATCAAGCTAAACTTTTGTTTTCTGGTACCTTTGGGATCCAGGGTGTGCTGGATTAGAGCACGGGCCCAGTCCAAACCAGTTTTGAGATGGTATTTTATACTGGCAGTGACTGGTGTGGATTTAACACAATGCTAGGAAGAAACCAAGGTTTCTGTTTGACAGAAACAGAAATCACAGGTACAAGAATCAAAGCCTGAATGAAACACTGTGGGCTCAAGTGTTGCAAGGACCAAATTCACTTCCCTAGCCCTGAGCACTCGTTTCAACTCACACCTTTCAGCAGCACGTCTGGGTTCAAACTAGAAACAAATACACTCCTCTAAAAGGAAAGGGATATTAGAGGATATACACTCCTCTAAAAGGAAAGGGATATTTCTGCTGGAACAGAGGAATAACTGAGGGAAAAAAAGCTGAACAAACCCAAAATTGCACAAGCAATTAGCTTTAAGCTTTCACCCTGCAGGACACACCAACACTGGGGCCAGGGCAGCCACCAGGAGCAGATGCCAGTGGAACAGCTGGTGCTGGCTCCAGTCTGGGCACATTTCTGGGGGTTTCTGTGCCAGTGTGGTGCACACGGGGTCTGTCAGGGCCACAGGGCAATGGGCATTCCCCTGCAGCTCTGGGGGTTTGCTCCTGTGCAAAGGAAACCAGTGTGGGTGGGACAGGAGCTCTCTGCAATGGAACCACCCCACAGCAGTGATGGCACTGGGATCTCACTGCAGCTGCACCTCCCTGAGGTGCCAGAGCACCCTGAACATGCCCAGGTGACCAACACCAGGTGGGTGAGCAGCCAGAGGCCACCAGGTCTCACTGGGAGCAGGTGGGAGAGGCAGGGAGGAAGCACAGGAATTCCAGCCCTTTCTAGTGCTGGAAACAGGAGGAAGGTTCTGTCAGATCCCAAAGTGAAATAACCTTGCTGTTATAACCTAGAAGTAACCTTGCTGTGTACCCCCTACCAACTCTCACAGCCAGAACTGCAGACACATTCCAAGGGCAGAATTCAGGCTGGAGTAAAAGAATCTGGAATCACTTCTTGCTTCAGGAGTCAAAAGAAGGGAGAACATCAATAGCAGCAGCAAGGGAGTTCCCAGCAATGCATGAAATGCAGGTGATGTCAGGACACCCCTGAAATGAAGGCAGGAGACCCAGGGGCAGAGAAGACTCCAGTCCCTGCACAGAGCATGGGGAGGCTGCAAGTCACCTGACAGCCAGAAAAACTGGCAAAGGAAGGAAAGAAGCCCAGGCAGGCTTTGCCTTGCTGTAGTTCACTGCAGCAGCAGCTGAGGGTTTGTGTCCTGCTTTGGGCTCTCCAGGTGCAGCTCAGGGCCAGCTCACAGCAGACCTGCCTGGAGCAGCCAGGCCAATGCCTGGGGAGGCACAGGGGGGTGGGAGGAGGTGTGAGCACAGGTCAGGTACAGGAGACACAAAAGCTCCCTTTCCTTGGGCTGGTTTGTTGAGCATTTCTTTCCAGGCTGCTGAGTAACACAACAGAGGCTTTGTGAGTGGTTCTTCCTTAGGTGTCTCAAAGAACCAGGCTGTAAATGATCCAAGCTTCCCCACAGCAGGTCTGGCTTTCTGTTCCACCTGCAGATGCTCCTGCAGTCAGCTGGGATGACAACTGACTCTGCTTTTCACAGTGTTTTGATGTAACTGCTAAAGGGAGGGAGCCAGAGGTTCCCCCCTCCAGGAAGGAGAGGGAAATTCAAACTTCTCTTGGAACTTACAGGTTAAAACCTGTGCTGTAAAGCTTGGCAGCAGGAAAACTCAACTGTGCAGAATCATTTCTGCTTCATGCTGAAGATGACACAGTTACAACAGCCAAGAAGAGTTAGACTGAAAGAATGTCTGCCCCTAAGTGAGATGATCAGATTAGAAACTCCCAGACAGCCCAGGTGTCTCTTGGCTCCTTTAGGGGATGCAGAAAGAGCCCCAGAGGGATTTCAGTCAGTACTTTAGCAAGGACTGTATCTAACATTGACTGCTTCTCTTTAAAAAGGGGCTTTCAGGGCCTCTAAAGCATGGTTACTGTCCAACAGGAGTGTGGGAATGATGTCACTCCAGCAAAACAGTGGAATTTCCTTATGTACTCATTATTCTATGATCTCATTGGCAAATGAGGCTTTCCACTGCCTTTCAGCTAAATGGGAATACCAGGAATGCTTCCAAGTTCATCAACAAAGTAATTAATTTCTAGTGTTTGAGTGAAAGTCAACCCTGTAATTACCAGCTCTCCATCCAGTCCCTGACACACATACCTGGGCAATCCAAGCCATGTGATCCAGAGGGGAGACCAGCTGAACCCCTGCTCCCTGATGTCCAGGGCTGGCTCTGGGGAGTTCAGGGACAGGATTTCCAAGGCTTTCAGTGTGACTGAGTGGGAAGCTGCATTGGATTTCAGAGCTGAGACAGCTTCATAGTAGTTCAGGTGAGTCAAATCGATGCCATTGATGCTCAGAAGGACATCCCCTGTTGATGAAATAAATTGGGATTGTTACAGACCTTGGGCTATGGAGCCCATTTCAGCCTCAAGGTGTCATGGGAGCCCTTTTCCAGCCTCTCTCAGGTCCAAGTCCAGATTCCTTTGAAAATACCCCACAGTTCCTAAAGGAGAAAGGCTCTGAGAGCCTCCCTTACCTCTCTTGATTCTGCCATCCCTGAAGAGGCATCCAATGGGCTGCACACTGGTCACATAGATAGGGAGCTTGTTCTTGTTATCCCTTCCACCTCCAATTGTGATTCCCAAAGATTCCTTTGGCTCCTTTTTTATTGCAACTGTCTTCTCATGACTTACATATCCCTGAGGCAAATCCTACAAAGCAATGACAGCACAAAATGCACTTCATTCATGCATTTAACAGGAGAAGCCCAGCTCTGGAAGACAGCACCATTTGTCTCCATCATCCAGAGCATTCCAGCAATGTTGCTGGAGGGCAAAGTCAGCTTCCCATGTCCCTGCTGTGGGTGGGAAAACAGAGCAGCATTTCTAAGGTGAACCCTCAGTGCTGTTCTAATGATCCCAAATCCATTTGCTGCAGGGAGATGCTCCCTCTGAGGAGGGGAATTTTGCACTGAGGAAGAAGCCATGAGCTCATATCAGGGCTGCTCATGCCAAGCAGTGAAGCTCTCCCTGATTGAATGTCTAGGCTGCAGTGAAGGCACACATTAGAGCACAGGCTGTACAACAGGGTGTAAATGCTACTCAGGGATTTAAATGCAGGAACAACACTCCAGCCACACAGGGCAGGAGCTCCCTGAGCTCCAGGGACACTGAAACACAGCCCTCTGAGCAGCTGCAGCAGGTTTGTCACTCAGATGGAAGCTCTGCACACAGGTTATCTCTGGGTTCATTGCTGCTGCTGTTTGTTGTGCCCCCAGGGTGGCAGAGCCCCTCTGCAGTCACAGCAGCACCACGGGGCCACCTGGGGATTCTTCTCCTGGACCATGAAGGGCTCTGGCCCCAGCCCAGCTCAGCTGGGTGTCACTGCAGCACCCTCAGTGTGCAGGCTGAGGGATGTCAAGAAGCAAATCCCAACGTATCTCATGGATGGCAAATTCCTTACTGCCCTTTCAAATGACTAAACACCAGCTCTGCATCAACACTGAAGAAATTTTGTCACCTTTTTCCCTTCAAATTATGTTTCCCTATAGATGACAAAGCAGTTTTTCAGTACCAGAAGCCCCAAACCTGCCCAAGCAGAAATGGAGCTGCTGATCAGCCTTCTGTGACAAAACACCATCCCAGCACAACACAATGCATTTGTTAAACCAGGAACAAGCAGCACCTTGGCCTCATTTCCCAGCCCCACCTTCTGGTAGGTGGATTTTCTCCTGTAGTGGCTCTGGTCTGGTCGCCTCCGGTGGTGCACAGGGCTGCCCCCATTGCTGCTGCTGCTGCTGTTGGAGGTGCTGCCATCCTCCCCTGGCTCCCCCAGCTGCAGCCCAGACTGCCTCAGGATCACAAAGTTCACTCTGGATTCCGTGGTCTGCCCAGAGAAACGAGGAGTGGAAATTAAAAAGACAAAGAAATGGGTTAGAAATGAGGGACAGCCCTCATTGCCTTGGGGAGAGAGAAGGGCTGGCATCAGTTCCTACAGAGGCTCCCCACCAGGTCCTCAATGTGATGGAAAGTCTTTTGTGATGAGCCAGGGAATGTGATTGGAAGAAGAAAAAGGGAATTAGCAAACATGAGTCAGAAGGAACAGGAGTAGAGACAGGCTTCACTCGTGCCTCCCTCCCCCACAAATGCCAAACAAGAGAAGGTGGATGATTAATTCCTGCACTTTGCTACGAACAACTAAAATAGCATCTTGTGTTGTGCCACAGAGTGACCAGAGCTGGAACCCTGGCTGCTCCACACAGTGACCACGACAAGCACTGGATGCTTTTATTGCACAGGAAGTTGTTAAAGCTCTTTCCCTCCCAGCTTTGTCCATCTATTGTTCACCATCTCCCATCCATTTTTTCCCCAGGGTACCTCTGGTTAAACACTTCACCAGCTGCTTGTCTGGCCTTGGCAGGGCTGCAGGGGAAGTGCTCCCATTGTTCCTGCTGCCCTCACTGGGTTTGTTCCTTCAGATCACCTGACAGAGCCTCATTGTGAGGGCCTCACTGGGGAGGGCCCAGGGCTCACTCGGGTGTTTCCTGCCCTGCATGGCAGAAATGCAGCTGCTGCTCTCACTCCTTGCCACAGGACCCTGCTGCCCTGGTGCCAGAGTGAATTCCCTGGCCTTGGAAAAGGGATTTTTTAAATTACATTTGAGCAAGGATTTCAATGAGTCCTCAGAGGAACAAATCATGTTTGGAAAACTGTCACAGTTTTACACAGATGTGACTTCCAAAGAGATTCAGCCCCCAAACCTCATGAAGCCAGTTCTGGGACTTTGGTTGCTGGTTCCAGTGGGATCAAAAGAGTTCCTCATATGGGAGTTGTGTGTGCACACTGCAACAGGAATGCAGCAGCACTTGTGGGATGCAAACAAATTGTAAGAGGCCCCAGAACAGAAGCACAACATGGAAAAGGAGCTCAGTGCTGGAACTGTGCTCTTTCTCCCATGGCACTGTGCTCCTCTGATAACTGTGAGGAGAGCTGCCTCTCCCTCCTGCTGACCTCACATCCTTTCTGGGATATAAACAGAATGGGATGAGGAGCATTGTGTCAGGATCTGTAGATAAAAACACAAACTGGAGGCACTCGCCTGGGGAGATAAAGAATTTAAAACAGATCTGGGTGATATCTGCTGCACATGCAGCAGTGCTTAATCCTTTAACTAGAATTCCTTGCCCACTCCTTCCACCAAAACCTCTGGCATGCTGCAACAGGAGCACATTCCACAGGGAAAGACCACCCCTCTTCTACCCATTCAGTACCTTGGAATGCTTTCACCCTGAGGTGCCCCATGTTTTCCAGTCTCTCTTCACAAATACAGATAAAATGGGGAGAAAGGGCTTCAAATCAGTCCAAAGGGCTCTGTCTGTGCTGCCAGCCCATCCCATCTCCCAGCCAGCACCTTCAGTGTGACTGCTGGAAGCACAAGAGGCTGCCCTGATCCCTGTCTGCTGCATGAATCCACCCAGTGCATCCCAACATTTCCTGTGCAAGGCTGAGTGAGAGGCTGCAAACACCACACAGGAGCTGCAATCTCCTCAGGTGAACTCCTGTGCCATGAGGCACTGCTTCCCCTCAGACCTGTCAGGGCTGACTCACCACAGATTCCCACTCTTGGTGTTTATCTGCATTTGGAAGTGGTGCTGCCCACACATCCAGAGGGGAGTCACTTTCCATGACAGAGATTTGGGGGAATGCAGCCTGTCCTGGTGTGTTCTGCTAGCCCTGGCTGAGAACAGGAGCCCTGCCAGCAGCACTCACAGCCATTCCCATGTCTGAACTCACCTGGATGATCTGGGCAGCAGCCTCGGGAGTTCCTTGCCTCAAATCCTGTCCATTTATTGAAAGGACTCTGTCATTCCGACTCAGCTTCCCATTCTTGGCTGCCAAGCCCCCCTCCAAGAGATCCAGAATAAAAATCCCTGCCTCGTCCGTCTTCCTGATCAGTTTGATTCCCAGGGGCTCGGATCGGTCTCTCTTCACCAAGGTGACGTGGATCACTTCCCTGCTGCTGGAGCTGCAATCCTGCTGGGCAGTCCTGTTGGAAAAGCCCTTCTCCTGCAGGACCATGAGGTGCAGAACAGGCCCTGGGTGGCGCAGGAAGGAGACAGCCTGGCAGTGAGTCACGCTGCTGATGTTGACGCCATTCACCTACAAAGACAAACAAAGCACTCACTAATCAGAGCCCACATTAATTAGGGACTGTCCACAGTGTGGGGCAGGATGGAAAACTCCCAGTGCAATCTCAGAGTCTGATTAGGGAGCAAAGTTTTCTAGAAAAGAATGAAGAAAGATGATGGAATTAGACTGTAATTGGTGAACAACTGAGGACAGGAACAAGACAGGACAACCCACACAGCTAACAAACCTAAAAATGTTCAGTCATTCCTTCCATGCCATGTAAATGCAGATCTGCTTTGCCTTAATTTCCAGCATTCACTACAGGCTTGGAGAAGACACAAATCTCCACTTTTGAGTGGTCCATAGTCTACAAGCTTCTAGAATCATCCACTTAATTATGCAATTACCAGGGTGGCTCTGAGAAGGCAACGTTTTGCCTTTCCTGTTGTCACATCAGAGTCTGTGCAGTCTTTTAGGATGGTAATAGTGCTCCTAAATGTGGGTCCTGCCCTATTTGCTGAGACTGAGGCATGGACAATCCAACTGGGTACAACAGGAGTCACTCCACTGGTCTACCTGAGAAACCAACCCAGAGATCTCATCAGCCACTTGGGTGGGAGCTGCCAGCCCTTCCTGATGCCCAATCCCATGGGACAATGGGATTTATGGCTTGGCAGATGACTGGGCAGCCATGGCTGGAGGAGCTAACAGGTGTCACCATGTGTACAAGGTGTCACCTGGGTCACCCAGGGCCACACAGCCCTGCCAGTGTGGGCAGTGCCCTGGCTGTGGGTCAGGCTGGGGCTGGAGCTCTGCATTTACTCATTGTGGAGCTGACACTCACTGCCAGTCAGCAGCTCTCACCCTGGACCTGCCCACAGAGAATATGCAGCTTAAGCAACACAGTGCAGCAAGCAATTATGAGACTTCCTAACTAGAGCAGAGAAATGGGGCTGCTGTGTGAAATTTATCAGGGAGCAATCTTTTACTTTGTCCAAAACATTTCAAAAAGCTGTCAAATATGCAAGAGAAATATGAGTCTGACTGGAAGGAATGCCAGCAGTGCTCCTGAGCCCCAGCAGACACACAGTGCTGCTGACACAGAGGTCTGAGCAGTGCTCTAAAACCCTCAGCTGCAGAGATCTCCCAGTTTTTCCAGGCTCTCTCCTCCCCCAGCCAAGGGAAGCAATGGGGCCACCAGGGGGGTTTCCCTACCTCAAGGATGTGGTCTCCAGGAGCAATTCTTCCATCAGCAGCAATCACAGAGTCCCTCAGCACTTCCTGAACAACGATGTTACCCAGGGGGGTGTCCTTACCCCCAACTATCCTCATCCCCAGCTCTTCCTCCAGGTCTTCCCGGTGGATTTCGATGGTGGTAGTTTCAGCCACAAGACTGGTTCTCTGAGGAAGGTCTGGTTGTGGAAATTGAAGAGAAAAAACAACACAGTAACAGAAATTTCCTTTTCACAGCACCCCAAGATTCAGGTTGTGTTCACTCTGGAACATCTGGAGGGAAAGCAGCTATGAGGAGACCTAAGGTCACATAAAAAGCTCAGAATCCCTCTGTTTCTTTAAAGTTTCTCCAGAATTTTTCCCATTTTCTCCTAGCTTTTGGTGAATTCAAACTCTTTATTGTTGTTGCTTGGGATTTATTAAAAGGCATTCAGTATGGTTTGGCTATATTTAGAGATTTGTTTTTCTCCTGTGATAGCTGGCCTGCTAGAAGCACACACATAATAAATTCCAGTTTCCATGATGCCCATGAGGGAAAGGGACTACCCAGCTGTAATTACTGCTCTGCAACTTCCTTCCTCTAATTTCCTTTGCTCCCCTTTTCCCATCCCCCCTGTAGACCAGGAGGAATGTTTGGTGTTTCACAGCATGGAGATGAAGCAAGGCTGCACTTTGAAGATGAAAGTTGCTGTTAGCAAGTGGGCTGAGACCTCCCAGCATGGGGACACTCAGACAGGCCCAGCACAGGGTGAAGGGCAGGTGCCACACCAGGGATGCAAAACCTGCTCCAGGTGTGCTTTGGGAAAAGGCCAACAGGGAACTGAACTGACCTGTGAGTTACCTCTGTCCCAGGCACAGGGGCTGAAACTGAGCCTAACTCTGAGACAAGGCACTGAGGTCTCCACGCTGCTGCCTCCTACCAAGCTGAGACAAGGCTGCTACACTGAAGTGCAGATGCTGATTTGATCTGCAAGGCTTCCAGAGCTGCCTGTTAATCAAAACCTAACTTATGCTACAAAAACACCAGGAGGGAGGTACTGACCACTCCAGGAAACTGACTGTATATTTAACTTTCCTAACAAGATTAACAAGAACCTGGAACACTTCCTAGTTACTAATTATCTGGCTTCTGCAAGGGCTTTAAGTGCTCCACGTTCACACTGACAGGGACTGCCTTTGTTTCTCCACAGAATACTGCAAGTACTCACTGCAGTCTCACAGGGTTTCTCCAAATGGTTCTGTACAGTTTTGTGCCTGTGAGCAGACTCTGCCACCCCTGATGCACATGAATGCATCTCCCTTCTGCTGAAGGAAGAGATGCCTCTGATGACTACTAATGGCTGAGTAGCATTAAGGATGCCTGACAGTGCTGGGGCACGTAAAAATGGAATTTTCTGAGATAATTGCCTCATTGGTATATCATGAAAGGTAAATACATAATTCCACTTCTGTAGCAAACTCTCACCTTCTTCAGTCTCCTCAAAAGCTGGATTAACCAGTCCAGGCTCTGCAGTCCCCAGTGACACCACAGCAGCTCCAGAGCTTTCTGCCACAAGTGAGGAGCCTCCACTTGGGAGCTCTGGATCCTTGGGTGTATTTGTGTCCCCCTTGGCAGGAAGCTCTTCCTTCCCTTTGGAAATGGGGTTCCTTTTCCGCTGGAGCTCAGATTTGTATTTCTTAAACCCAGGACACCTGGAGAGAGATTGGCAGGGACTGTCAGTGACTGTCTCTGCCTGGGCAGGTGACCCAGCACATGAAAGCTCTGACAAACCTGTGGGAAGAAGCTGCTCCCAGATCTCACCAGTGCAGTCCTGGTTCCTCAGATGATAAAACTGAGAAACCTTGACCTTCAGTTTCTACTTCTACAAGTATCAGCTTAAGTGCAGTGGCTTGTTATTTCACCACTTTTCAAATTATTAAGCAAATTATTTGAAAAATAAGAATGTAATAGAAACAGGAGTCTCCTTTGCTAAATATTTACCTGGCAAACAATCCATAAAGAAAACAATCCCTCTTAAATATAAGCAAATACTGAGCTCTGACGTTGTAGAGATCACCATGAACTGTACCTTGATACAAAGAAAGTGGCTCAGGTTTCAAGCTCAGCTTTGAATTAGGCTTTGTTTTAACACACCAGCTACACACAAGAGCAGCAAGGGAGGATTGGGCATTTTCTGTTGTGGAATGAGACCTGATCCTGGACCTGGTGCACTCCCAGGCCATGCAGGTGATGGAGTAGTTGAATTCCTAATCCCACTGCCTGCTCCCCAGAGGTCAGAGGTGCCAGAACTGGGATGTAATTGGATGCAGATACATCAGCAGCCTGTCTCAGCACTAATGGGTGAGCAAGAACAGCTCTTTTATCACAAGTATTTCTAAAAAAGGTGAGGAGGTGATAAATGCAAAAGCATCACTTTCAGAGACATGAGTAGTATTGGGTGTTTACCAGAGTCACTTTTCAAATTAAACTGAACTATTTACACTCTGGCTAAAGAATCTCATCCCAGTATTACTTCCTCTGGTTTATTCCTGCTCATTTAGTCTCCAAGCAGTAAAATAACCCTGCACTTAATGACAGAAACTGAGTGATCCTTTTGTGCACATGTCCCTCTTAAGATATCAAAACACAAATTCAATTTGCAAAGGCAGGAAAATCCCCCAAGAAAATAAGTTACTATGTGCTTCTTATTTCCTTAAATCTTCTCCTATCAGTTAATCTCCCTTAAAACAAGAGAACACCCAAATCCCAGTGCAATTTTCTTATCTGTTTTTTTTTCTTCCTTATTTTTTAGTCTGATGATCCACTTGCACCCACAGCCCAGGTGAAAATAGCCTCGAATCTTAGAATACTCTGTCCCCAAGAAAGCTACAAAGAACTGTGGAATATATAGGAGAATGATACAGTTTCCAGGCAGGTCTCTAATGCAAACATTTGAGGTGCCTCTCTCCCTCCCCTATGTGTAACTGCTGTGCCAGAGGGATTACACAGTGACAGGAGTTTACTGATAGCAGGGCAGATTTGCAGAGCAGAGGAAGGCCCAGCCCTGGTGTGAGCCATGGCCCCAGCTGGAGCAGCCAGGACAAAGGGCTGCTCAAGAAAAAGGAGATCATCAACTTTCACTGAAGGGAAAGGGGCACCCAAGCACTTCCATCCCTCCCCTGGCTCTAACACAAGCTCTCAGCTCATGGGGACTGAAGACAATGATAACACAAGGGTCCATCCTTGGCTGGAGCTGCAAAGGTATCCTAAGTGTACCTGCTCCCTGGTTGGTTTATTTTTAAAATATGGCATTGCCACAACAAACTACAACACAGCTGAATGAATCAAGCCTGTGGCATTTCCCATTGCTGACAAATGCACCCTGCCAAGGAAGCTCTGTTCCACCTGCAGCAGGGCTTGCACTTAGCTCCCCTCCCTGCAAATCATTAACCAGGTAGGAACAAGGGTTCTCCACGCACCACGGCAAGAGCTCTGTCACCTGCACTCCTTTTAAAGTGACAATGTCCTGCCTGCCAACAGCTCTGCCAGCAGGGAAGCACCAAAAAGTCTCCCTTCCCCTACAAGAGAGGATCAGAAAAAAACAGTAATTTTCATTTGCTTCTATTTCTCAGCAAAAGAATGAGAGAAAATAATGGGATTATAAGTAGGTGTTTCAGTAAGTGCATAATGTGCAGCTTGGAGGGACTTGCACTATTTGAATCAAAGACTTACTGCACATCTTAATTGGACCAATTAAACTGGCAGCACTGCACAATCCCTTGCTTTCAGAGCCTTGACTTGGTGCCTTTCTTCTCTGCACAAGGGAAACAAGAAGAAGCTTGTTTGTTTGTACCAACTCCAGAGCTGGCAGCCCAGTTCAGGACCCACAGATGTCTGGGTGTTTGGCAGGTTTAGCGTCTGCAGACAGGCTGAAGGTGAGCAGCTCAGAGCACACACACAATTACACTGTCCTCACCCACCCACCTCTGCAGCCTCACCCTGCCTTCTCTGGTGTCCCACCTTGCCCCAGTTTAGGGAGCTGCTCTGGGAACACAGGGCTCTGCTAAGCAGCACAGCAGCCTGGCAATAGCAGGATGGAAAGGGGAATGCACCTGTTCTGCAGGTGAGCCTCCAGCTCACAGCGCTGCATGGTCTGCTGGCACTCAGCCTTGAAAGGACACAGCACAAGCAGCTTATCCAGCAGGTTCCTCACCAGCAGGCTGGACTTGTGGCACTGCTGGAAGGAGAGCTTCTTGCGGTCCATGGGGCAGAAGCTGTACTCCTGCATGAAGTTCTCCAGGCACTTGAAGCAGTAGGTGTGCCCACAGGGAGTGTCCATGGGCTGCAGCAGGGGCTGCAGGCAGATGTGGCAGATGAGCTCATCGTCCACCTCGTCCTGGAAGTTGTACAGGTGATTGTCCAGCAAGGGGTGGGCCTGGCCACACTCACAGCACAGCTCGGGGACGTGGGACGCGCTCTCCTCGGGGACAGGATCAGCCATGGCAGCAGCACCAGGAGCAGACTGTCACACAGCAGCTCTGCCACACACCTGTGGGGAAGGGACAGACAGACATTTCCAGCCAACACTGCTTTAAAGGCAGCCCACTGAAAATTCAACTCTATTCCTGCCTCGAGCTTCCTCCCCCAGAGCCTGCACCCCCCTGACCCCCACTGGGTTCTTCCTTCCAGAACCACCCTGTGAATGAGCAGCCCAGGGAGCAGAGGATGCAAGGACCTCACTCAGCACAAGGTTTAGGCACGTGGATAAACTGAGGCTTAAACTTTATACACACACACACCAGACACAGACTAAATAAACACAGGGATTAGAAAAGCTGAGACAAAAACTGCATGTTCTTGATGGAGAACAACCCAGAGAGGGAAGGGAAAGGAAGGATACACAAGACAGTGACTTTTAAACTTCCTCTGGCTTTCCAGATTATACCAAATCTTTTAAGGACGTGTGGTGAAAAGCCAATTTGGGGATACCCTGGTTTGAAAAGGAAGTGAGTTTTTTGGGATGCTGTGGTCAAACCAACAGGTGCTCAGATTTGAATATTGGCACCTGGTGTGGCCCCTGAGGACATGGATACGCCTCTGAGAGCACAGGGGGTTAAAAGCAGTTCTGGTTGTTAAGATTACTGTTTTGTATTTTGGGGGGTGGGGAGGATGAGGCAAAAGAAGAGGAATAAATTTCAAAAGAAACTTAAATCTAAACCACATTTCCTTCCTTTCAAGCCCACTCCCTTCAAAAAAAAATTGTTTTAACAAACAATGCATTGTTCCCCACTCATCCATGCCTAAGTTCCCCCATGGAAACAAATTTCCTATAAAAAGACTAAAGCTTCCTAAGTGGAAAAAACGTAAAGAATAGTCCACATCATTTGTTGCAAGGTTAGAGAGAGGATTGAGCTCCTTTCAGCCAGGGAGAGCAGGACAAGGGACAAACTGAGTCCTTGTAGCTGCTGCTCTCATTTTAACAGAAATGTCTGCAGTCACATCCATTTTGAATCTTGCCTGTTGTAATTAAATATAAAATTCACTTGAGTTTCCTAGCAGATTACAGGCACAGGGATGGCTGCAGGGAGGATTTTTTTAACCTGGCAGTTATTTTAATGAAGTAGGAAATGTGGTATTAAAGGAAGCAAACTACATTACACAGTGGGGGGTGTTGTGGTGATGTTTTGAGGAGTTTGTGCTTTGGTGGGGTTTTTTTAAGTAAAGAATCCCAGACTCTAAAAACAAAAAAAATTGCAAAACTGTGATGAAATGGAAAATTTCTGAAAGATGATGTGGAAAATACCTGAAAACAATGACTTTATCTGGAGCAGGTAAGCAAGAGGGAACACTGGTCTGCACCAGTGCCTGGAGGACACAGCTGGCACACAGCAGAACTTGGGAGGAGGGGAGACAAGAACAATAAAATAGCAGGAACGGCAAGAAAAAATTAGTCATGGGTTTCTAATAAAAATCATGCATCACTCCAATTAATTGTCAAGGTAAGTCAGCTACTTAATTAAAGGAAGAATGTATCACCAACAGAATCAGCCACTTCACAGGCGAATTCTTCCCCAGCCACAGGAACATGTTCACTTCAAAAGATTAAAACATCACTGTCACAGTTCCAGGTGGGTACAGCAGGAGTTATTTGCTGCTCTCCCCTGCTGCAGTGCCAAGAAAGCATCTTCCCCTGGAGGGAAGCACTCAGGCTGGGTGAACATCCCTGACTCCTCTGTCTGCATTCCCTCCTTAACCCCTGCATGGCTGACTCCCAAAACAGGGCACAGCTCCCAGACAGCACCCATGGAAATGGAAGCTGCTGTGTCCATGGCTCCTCTCTCAGACAGCACCCATGGAAATGGAAGCTGCTGTGTCCATGGCTCCTCTCTCAGACAGCACCCATGGAAATGGAAGCTGCTGTGTCCATGGCCTCCTCTCAGACAGCACCAATGGTAATGGAAGCTGCTGTGTCCATGGCTCCTCTCTCAGCACCCATGGAAATGGAAGCTGCTGTGTCCATGGCTCCTCTCTCAGCACCCATGGAAATGGAAGCTGCTGTGTCCATGGCTCCTCTCTCAGACAGCACCCATGGAAATGGAAGCTGCTGTGTCCATGGCCCCCTCTCAGACAGCACCCATGGAAATGGAAGCTGCTGTGTCCCTGCCCTCCTCTCTCAGCACCCATGGAAATGGAAGCTGCTGTGTCCATGGCTCCTCTCTCAGCACCCATGGAAATGGAAGCTGCTGTGTCCATGGCCTCCTGTCTCAGCACCCATGGAAATGGAAGCTGCTGTGTCCCTGCCCTCCTCTCTCAGCACCCATGGAAATGGAAGCTGCTGTGTCCATGGCTCCTCTCTCAGCACCCATGGAAATGGAAGCTGCTGTGTCCATGGCTCCTCTCTCAGCACCCATGGAAATGGAAGCTGCTGTGTCCATGCACTCCTCTCTCAGACAGCACCCATGGAAATGGAAGCTGCTGTGTCCATGCACTCCTCTCTCAGTACCCATGGGAATGGAAGCTGCTGTGTCCATGCACTCCTCTCTCAGTACCCATGGGAATGGAAGCTGCTGTGTCCATGCCTCCTCTCTCAGCACCCATGGAAATGGAAGCTGCTGTGTCCATGGCTCCTCTCAGACAGCACCCATGGAAATGGAAGCTGCTGTGTCCATGGCTCCTCTCTCAGCACCCATGGAAATGGAAGCTGCTGTGTCCCTGCCCTCCTCTCAGACAGCACCCATGGAAATGGAAGCTGCTGTGTCCATGGCTCCTCTCTCAGAAATCTGCCTGCTTTTGGTGCTTGCCTCCACCTGAAACAGGCAGGTTCTGTTTGCCTTATTGGCCTTTTTGCCAGCCTTCAGCTGATCTTGAATGACCTTACAGGTGCAAAAGGAACATTTCAACATCAGAGCATCACTTCACATCTCCTCAATTGTAATCAATCAGCTCAGCAGCACCAGGTAATGAACCAAGGAGCTTCCAAGGCAAACAGTACCAATCAGAAATACTTGTGCTTCGGGTTGGACTATTTGCATAAAACTTTGGCAGGTGATGAAACAAATCCACTTTCTTAGCAAAAACAAACCTCACAGTAATTTTGCTGATAAACTACTTTTATTGGGGGGTTTTTCAGATTATTTATCAAATTAATTCTCTGCTCTGTGTTTAAAGGTTACCCAAGATGAATCCCATTGATGAGTAATTTCTGAGTAATAACTTGTGGAAGACAAAAGTGTCACCAAAATTTTGCTGCTCCAAGCTGATCTGCTGTCTCACTTCTAGATCCTTGAAAACAAGGGGTGAAGATTTCATTTAAAGGTGAATTTTACTTTTGCACCACTGTCCCTTCAACAAGGAGGACACTCCTGCAGACACCAGGGAAGCCAAGGCTGCCACCTCTGTGATGAAAGCCAGCCCAGAGCCTTGGGCAAGGCAGGGCTGAGTGAGCAGCACAGGGAGGGCAGCAGGCTCAAACAAGCCTCCCTTGCTCAGGGACTCAGGCACTAAGCAGAGCTTCTGCAGGGGAAGAACTGCTAAAATCCCATCCAGCACAGATGTTGCTGCAGCCCAACAAGGCAGAGTTGAAGTGTGTAGAAAATCAGTGTTTCATCATAACAGGCCTGGCTCCCTCAGCTTCCATGAGCCACTCTCAGGAGTCAGTCCTGAGAGCCCACAGGATTCCAGCTTTGGAGGGGAGTCTGATCCAAATTCAGTCCTTTGCAATCCAACCTCAGCTCCTCATTCTAACCTCCAAAGCCCAATTAACCCCTCCATCCTCGTGTTGCTTTTTTTGTTCCATCATTCCCCACTCTCCAGCAAAGGGTGGCACCTTCCCTGCTGCTGCCTTTCTCCAAAGTTCTGGAATCTCTCTGTGGCTTTTCACCCACATCATGAGGGAGTCACAACATCAGGACCCAGCTTGGTCCCCAGTTCCTCCACACTGACTGCATGGAATTGTTAAAGCCTGACACGGACATGTGCTGCTCTAAAAGGGTAACACAAGAAATGCCTCTGGAGTCAGAATTATTTGGAGAGTAACACACCCCACCCCTATGCCTAACAAAGAATTAAAGGAAATAGATCAGCAGAAATCCCTTTATATTTCCTAATTTCTTATCCCATAAGGATTCCTCTGGGATCACCTTTATCTTTACTGTATTAAAACAAACCAAAAAAGAATTGTTTTTCAAGCCAACCAGTGTTGGATTATTTTTTTTAGTAGGATTCCTGGTACTATAACACTGACTCAAAGACTAGACTTTTTTTTTAAAGATGATGACTTATCAGGTAGTCTAATCTGTATTCCTGCCAAAGCAAGACTATTCCTGACAATAATAGCACATTGCCTATTCTTGTTTTAGCTCTGCCAGGGCCCAGAGCCTCAGCTCTGCCCCCCCTGCACATCTACACCACCGTTAATAGCTCTGGGAGGGGTCTGCCAAGAACCACACCGGCACCATTCCTGGTGGGCAAACTGCTCATTCCCTGCCCAGCAGCCCAGACTTGGAAATAGAACTGATGACTCACAGCTTGGGAGAGAAAAAAAAAAAAAAATAAAGCCTTTTAAAGAAAGGGTGATTATCTAAGAAATCTTCCCAACCCCGTGCCTCCACTTGTGCTGGCTCTGACTGAGCAGGAGCTGTGCCTGTGGTACCTGGCTCCACAAGAGCAGCATTCCAGCTCCCAGCTTATCACCAGCATTCCCTAACACTGCTCTGGCTCTGCTTTCAGGCCATTTCACTCTGCCACTCTTGGTGTGGAGCACAAATTAAAGTTCTGTTCATGCCAAGCCTGTCTGCTCACATAATTCCAGCATTTGGTACAAGTGAATTTTGGCCATAACGTAGGCACCTGAATGTCATTTCTTTGAGGGGTTACAGGGCTGCTATTCCCATTTAAAAAGTGAAATTACCTCAGCAGAGGCTAAGCCAGACCCATAGAGGCAGCAGCCCCTGGGAATTTAACTCTTTGTTCTGGCCCTGAAGAGGATCTTGAGGGACCTATCTAAGGTCACATGGGAAACTC